GGTGGCGCGGTGTGCCGCCGTCCACTCGGCTGGGTCGCAGCTGCCTCTGCGCGTCCTGGGTATGTACCTTTGTCGCGCGCCGGAGACGACTCGACGCCGCTGAGATCGGAGATCGAGCTCTGACAGGTCGCACGTCGCTACTTTGACGCCGACGTGACTCACCCGTGCAGATCACATCAGGACACGGTCTCGACACGCTCGGTACGACGCCTGCGACCCGTCTCGGGTCAGGTGGCACGACGCTCATCGCGCCTGCCAGCGCTGCCGTGCAGGCTGCCACGACGAGGTCGAGCACGCTTCTATACGCTCGCCGAGCCTTCCTTTCCATCCCATTAGGCAGCCTGGGAACGGTGGCGGTCAGAGGCAAAGACTACGAGGGGTGGTGGAACCACATGTCACGGCTACTGCCGGCTCGACCCCACGATAGCCTCCGAAGGCTGACTTTGAGGCACCATCATCGGACGATGTCGACGAGTTGGGTCGCTCTCGCGGTAGCCAGATGACCTCCCATGCTAGTACCATCGGCTAGGGCCGCAGGAAGCGCGGGGGAGGGCGCTGGGAGCAACACGGAGCTCCGTTGGACGTTTTCAAGATTAGCGTGTCAGAGTGAAATGGAACTAGCCTCAGCTGACACGCATGTGGTACGTGGAACGTGCACACGGCTGTGTATTGAACTCGACCAACTATATGACATGCGCATGCCACTCAGCACTCTCTGCTCCCGCATCCATCTCTCTCTGTACACCGGCTCGCGCGGGAGAGGGTCGACCATCGGCAGGTCCGACAATAACGCTGTGTTGCCCGGCGGAGCCGTTTCCTTTAGTCTGCCGTGACGGCTGCGGCGATGGCGACGGGCGCAGTCATGTTGGCGAGCGGCACCGCAGGCACCGAGGGCACGAATGCGTGGTGGGTATAGGTGTTTGCCGGGTGCGCGCCGTCGTGGGGCATCGCCTTGGGCGGCGCCTCCTTGAGCGGCGGCACGCGCGTCGCGATGCCGTCGAGCTCCGCCGCAATCGCGTCGATCCTCGCCGAGAGGCGGCCGGGTGTGTGGCAGAGCAGGACAGCGCTCTCGAGGGCGTGCACCCTCGCCTCAATCCCGCCGCGGCCGACCGCGCCAAACCAGCGCCGCTCGAGCTCGGCGAGGCGGTACTCGGCGCAGTGCGCCTCGCGGTTCACGCACAGCGCCGCCGCCGCCTCCTCCTCCTTGGGCGATAGCGGCTCGGCCTTGCCCGGCTGCGACCGCTGCCTCGTCGCACGAACCCACGCAAGGGCGGCCGACACGAGGACGGGATCAAGCGGGCGCTTCTTGGAGGCGTCATCCGCGACCGGCGCGCCGATGGAGGCGAGGTTCGCGCCCGCGCCGATGGAGGCGAAGTTCGCGCCCGCCACGTCGACGTTGGCGGCATTCGCGCCCGCCACGCACCGGCGCCACGAGTCGGTCGGCGTGGCAACTTGCTCGCGGAGCTCCTTCCACGCTGCGGCGACCTGCTCGCCCGAGGGCGTGCTGAACTCGCCGGCGCAGGAGCGGAGGTGCTGGTGCTGGAAGTTGTTTGCGGAGATGCTCTTGCGGCAGTTGGGGCACCACCGCTTGCCCGGCAGCAGCCGCGCCGAGTGGGTGCTGCCCTCGATGCCCTTTGCCGCCGAGTGGAAGACCTCCTTGGTGTCGGGGTCTTGGAACCAGACGACGGTGCGATTCTTGCCCTTGCGGAGGAAATAGTCGAGGCCGAGCTCTTCGACCTGGAACGGCTCCGCCTCGGTGTTTGGACCCTCGACCGCGAACCCGAAGCCCGGCACCTGCTGCTCGGGGCTGCCGCTCTCGCCGGTGGCGGTGCACAGTCGCCACGCAATCGAGTCGACCGTGTTGGGATGGAAGGCCCTGCTCTGCGCGCGAAGGAAGACGTGCTGGCCGTCGTCCGAGGTGGCGCACCACTGCTCTTGCTCCCGATGAAAGGTGAGCGAAATGCTCGTGACCCCGGCAGGCCAGGGAGCATCAGAACTCAGCGGTTGCTTGACAAAGCGAGGCCGCGGCGGGTGGCCCTCGGCCGGATCGACACGATGCCACTCGCCGTTGAGGAATCCGAGGGTGAGCGGGGCGCCGTGTGAGCGGAGGGAGACGTGGACCATGGACTCGATGCGATGGAGCAATGGAGGACGCGATGCAAGGGCAAGGAGTCGAGTGTTTGTCCTCCTTGTCGGCATAAGCGCGGGCGATACGTTTCTTCTTTTTTTTTGAGCTAGACTTCGTTGTTAACTAGCGAAGGCACACACGACATGACGCCAAAGAAACACACGTTTTTTTTTTGGACCCCGTGTTGCATGTCTGACTGTCACTGTGCGATTTCGGGGCCCGGGGTTGTGCGTTTATGTGAACAACCTCTCACAGACCAGCGCACAGCGCCATAGGACGTATTTTCTTCTCAATAACAAGGCTGTGTGAATTCTAGGCCCGCCGGTAGTCTCCCCCCATCCCCAGGGCCTCCAGGGCTCGCACCTCAACCTCTCACAGACCAGCGCACAGCGCCATAGGACGTATTTTCTTCTCAATAACAAGGCTGTGAATTCTAGGCCCGCGGGTACGGGGGAAGGACCCTGAGTTGACCAGGGGTTGGGCGCCGGGCCCTCCTGCTCGGCTCCAGCGAGTAGACAAGTGTTGTCATCAACAGAGTAGAAGGATCTGACCTCGGGGCCGATGTGACCAAGCGCTGGTAGCGTGGTTTAACCTCTCGCGGCTGCTTGGACAGCGGGCGCTACGCCGGGTACTGGCCTCTCGGCCCTCTGAAACGACCCGCGTCGCGTATACATTAACTGATCTAAGATCATCCCAAGCTCACCGCGGTCGACGGGAGGTCGCTGTTGGGAATGTCCGACATGTCGCTCGCGTTGGAGGCTGACCCTGTCGAGGACAGCAGCCGCGGAGCGCTATTCCGTTGTACCGGTCGTCGCTGGCGCAAAATTCCCATCGCCGAGACAGCCAGCACGCCCTCGCCATGGAAAATGTTTGCCGCTGGCGCCGGCAGCATGCTTCTCCTCGTTGTCCTCGTCAAGATCGCCTTCGACTCTTTTGCGCTGTACGAGAGAGGTGTCGCGGCTATAAGCGTGAGCAACAGGCTCGAGAATCGTACCAAGAGGCTGCCCGTGACTGCAGCCTCGATCACCTCCACGCCCTCTTGCGGCGCCAGCCGCGTCATATTCTTCAAGCTACACAAAGTCGGCTCAACGACAATGGCCAATATGATCGAGGCGTATGCGCGCCGTCATCAATTGACCGTGTGCCCCAGATCGCGTGTGCTAGAACACCTATGCTGTTGCCACGTGGCCGTCACGCACGACGCTTCTGAGGGCGTGGTCGCCGATCATGGCTGGAACGCGTGGTTTTCGCTGGGCATGCCTCGCCAGCCCAAGGCACTCAGCATGATCCTGTTGCGCCAGCCAAGTGAGCGTATCCTTAGCCGCTACTTCTACGACATGGCAATGGCAGCTGCAGCTGGCAAAACCCAAAACCCATCCCATGAGTTGTCGGGTGACTGGAGCGTCTTCAGTTCTTGGTTGAACGACCCCCACAAAGGCGGCGTGCAGGTGCACCACTACGTCAGTGCCCTATCGTCTCCCAAGAAAGCTTCCGTCTCCGACGCACTGCGTACGCTTTACAACTTTGACCTCGTTGGCGTGACTGAAGATATGGCAGCAGCTGTGACCGCCCTCGCGCTTGCGCTGGGATGCGACGATGTCACCAAGTTTGCATACAGTTTCGACGCCAAGATTGTTGTGGGTCGGCCCAGGTTCGTAGACGCACCGACGTATGTGCAGCAGGCCCTGCTCAACTTAACGCGCGACGATAAGGCGGTGTACGATGCCGCCATGCAACTCGCACAACAGCAGCAGCAGGCGTTGGGCCCCGTCTTCCCTTCAGCGCTTTCCGCGTTGCAGGACGCCCTCGTTGGTGCTGCAGTAAACTGCACATACACCAAGAGCGCCCAGTCTTCCGTGAGCAACGTGAACGGCGGATTCGATTGTCTACACCTTGACACTTGAGTCGAGTGTCGAGCTTGTTCCCGAGGTGACCACTGTTGATAGCCCAACTCGCCTCTCAGCCCGAAGCTAACTTGCTCTGAGGGGGCGCGGCTCAGCCCAGATGTGATCTCGTCGCTGTTGTGTGCGTCGAGCTCAGCTTGTATGTATCGTCTTTTCTTGGCTGCGACTGCGAGACGAGCCGCCGGCCCCCGACGAAGAGTCGCCACCACTCTGTTGCATCCGCGCCGGCTGATAGGGAGATGGCTAGACGCGAGCGGAGCGAGCGAAGCGCTCTGCGGGACCGGCGGGCGAAAGAGAATGTGTCGCCGCAGCCAGTACTCCAGAGTACCGCCACCGGCGATCCCGGACGGACCGCGTACCGCGTACCGCTTCACACCCGCGGGGCCGTACCGATACCGCTTACCGGGCCCGAGGGGCCGATACGTGCCCCCACGGCAAATTGCGGCCACTCTTACGAACATACCCGAGAGAGAGACTCCAGGTGCTGCTGCGCGGCCTCTCCGCCGCCGCCACCGCCGCCATCATGGAGCTGAAGCAGCGCTTCACCGGGTCGGAGGAGGAGCAGAAGGCGGACGAGCAGGCGCTGGAGCTGCTACTGGTTGCCTGCGAGTGCCTCGGGCTCACGTGGCCTGTCAAGCCCATGGCCGAGGCGCCGGTGGAGGCGCCGGCGAGAGGCCCGCGCGTAGGGGCGAAAAAAGGTGAAAAACATTCTGGTGATCGAGATGGGTCGCTATGAAATCGACACGTGGTACTTTTCGCCATACCCTGACTCGTTCGCACATCAGACGCGCCTCCTCATCTGTCCATTAAGTACTTTAAGAGGCGGCCGGCATATGTCAAGCACCTGGCGACACTCGAGCGCCGAGGGCCGCCCGGCAAGAAGATCTCTCGGCGCCGGCGCCCACGATGCCAGAGAGCTGCAGGAAGATGGGAGAAGTGTGAATTCTTCAAACGCGTGGGTTGGCCAGGCGTCCCTCGCGCCGGCCATTTCCTCAATTCTCCGATGAATCTGCCGGCCGCCATCGTCCTCCTCAGCTTTGCATCCGGCTCGGCGATTAGCAGCCCACCGCGGCCTGCGATGCGAGCCGACCGCCGTCTCGCCGCCTCAGCCAGGTTCCGGCTGCGCGGAGGCGCAGCAAAGATGAGCTTTGCCACAAGGTCCGCACGGCACCGCCCCTCTCGTCCCTTGCGATGGGCGAGGGGTCCGTCATCGAATTGGGTGGCTCCCTGTTCCCGGTGGCCGTGCGTCCGATTCTGAGTGCACGCGTGGGCACCCCCTCCCCTCCTCAGCGTCGCCCCGGTCCTCGGCGCGACGATGGCGAACGTCATGTTCGCGTCCGGCTTCCCTGAGGTGCTCGCCAAGCGCAGGGAGGGAAAGCTCGGCGACTATAACCCGCTGCCCACCCCAATCGTCTTTGGCAACTGCCTCGGCTGGCTGTCGTACGCGCTGCTCTCCAAGGACCCGTACGTGACGGCGGCCAACGTGCCCGGCCTGCTGCTCGGCTTCTGGTCCTAGAAGCGGATACATGTATTCAACCAGCGCTCGAGAGGACACGGATTCCACTGTATTCGGCCGTATCTCAGCGGTATTCACCGTGTTTGTGTCGCCCGTATTCACGCGGTGCTCTGAATACTCCGCACCAACCGTCTTCCCGCCCTGAGGTCGGTGTATTCAGCATGTAGGCTTTTGGTACGTCCTCACCTGCCTGCCGCTTGCGTCCAAGCCCGTCGCAAAGCAGATGGAGGTCACCTTCCTGGTCCTGGCCGCCATCCACGCGGCGACGGCGGTCGCGTGCGCCTTCTTCGTCCCCACCCGCGCCGGCATGGCCTCCCTCTACGGCATCGTCTCCAACCTGATCCTGCTGGCATACTATGGCGCGCCCGTCTCGCCCCACCGTCCACGTGGCACGTCCCGAGGCCCGCCCCATGACACGACCATGACGCGTCCCCAGGCGCGCCGCTCTCGTCCATCGGCAAGGTGGTCGAGTAGCCAGGCAGAGCGGGCACTGCACTCGAGAGACGGGCAGTCTGCGTCCTTGGGGGGAGGGGGCGGCGGGTGGGCGGAATCGCTGTCCGCCTCCGTCGAGCTGATGAATGAAGGAAGGCATGCGTGCCATGGCTGCAGGTGCCAAGGACCGAGGTACCTGAGAGGACCCGAGAGAGTCACCGAGAGTATTTGTACCTTGCAGGTGCTCAAGGACCGATCGGCCGCCTCCATCTACTTCCCTACCGTGGCGGCCAACGGGCTCAACGGGGCCTTCTGGTCGGTGTACGCCCTCGCAATCAAGGACGGGTGGCCTAGGTGCTGGACCACACGTTGTGCATCAAAGCACTTCTTCTCCCAGGCACCCCCAACCAATCACGAGGGAGGCAGCGCCTCCGTACAGAGAGCCTCGAATCAATCGAGTGATGCGTGCCGGTCGCGTGTGATCACCTGCCCGGTCCCTCTCTCGCACTCTCGAATTCGCGCGTCGACCGCACTCGGCTGAGACCCACTCTGTCTCCGGAGCCCGTGCCTTCCGCGAGTTGCGGCGCCTCAGCGCCTCAGCCCGTTGTCTTTGCGCCGCAGGACTGGTACCTCCTCGTCCCGAACGCGATCGGCGCCGTCCTCGCCGCGATCCAGACAATGCTGTGCGCGGCTTTTGGCAAGTTTAGCGGCGGCGAGGCAAAGTGAGCGAGAGGGTGGTGTGTGGTCCTCGCAGAGCAGAACTGGCAAAGACCTTCCGGCGCGCGCAGGCGCGGCAAGTCGTCGCAACTGAGACCGGAGGGAGGCGGAGGGGCTCCCTCTCAGAATCAGAATCCTGTCTTCCTCACCCTGTCTCACGTGTGTCACGTCAGCAGCCCTCCCTCTTTGCTGCAGGTCTATCAGAGTGCTCGTGTTGATGGCTTACTCATTTTTAGTATAATTCCAACAAAACTCAAAACTGCCGGTGAGTGCCCCCGGTGAGCGGTGTGTCTGTCGCCCGTCTCCTTTTTGCTCCCTACTCGACCTTCCTCGTCCCGCCCCCAGTCTACGCAAAGGAGGGGTACGGCGGAGGGATCAGCATGGACGGCTTCACCAGCACATGATGCTGGGGGAGGCGCCGGAGGCGTCGACCGTCGTACCACGACGAGGTGCTCACCCCGCGGCAGACGAGTATACCAGCACGAGTACTCTTTTTAAAAAGAAAACAGTGCCCTAACGCGTACACGTAAAGAGTATAAGACGAGCCGAGAAAGCGAGAGATTGAGGGAGTTTTAATGGGTTGTCGTAAAGAGCTAACCTACGCTGAAGACGTGGACACGTAGCCCACGTCGATCGTGAGAGACCGAGGCCATTGTGGGCTACGTGTCCGCCAGCGAGAGCACCGCCTGCTCGACGGTCTCGCGGTCGGCCGCGTCGACCGTGTCGTGCGCGAGGTATCGCAGGAAGGCCGACGCGGCGCGTCTCCTGGCGGCGGCGCGCGCAGCCGCGCCCGGCTCGATCCGCAGCAGCTGCGAGTGCGCGACGCCGAGGTTGCGCCACACGTACTCTGGCATGCGCAGCGAGCCGTTGAGCTCCACCGCCACGGTCTCGTCGTACAGCCGCGCCGCGGCGTTGAACAGCGCCCTCTCTGCGGCCGCGTGCCCCTTCGCCGCGTACGCCGCCTCGAGCAGCGCAAAGGGCCGCAGCGCGTAAGCGGGCACGTAATGGTTTCTCGCCACCACCTCGGCCCAGCTGCCCGGCTGCGGCGGCCGCGCAAACGCGAGGCGGGGCAGCGCGCGCGCCGACCGCGCGGCCCACTCCTGGGCGTCGAAGGGCGTCCCGCGCCGCACGACCTGGGACACGAGGCCTACTGGCCAGAGCTGGTAGCCGCGCCGCCACGACTCGTCTCTGGGGTGCATCCCGCCACACACGTACACTTCGAAGGCGTCGTAGTTTGCGTCGAGGAGCTGCTCCATGAGGAAACTGCCCGGCGAGGAGCCGTAGGCGTCACCCGGCCACGAGACGCCGTCGAAGCCGGCGCCTGCTCTCGCCGCGCGCCGGACGAACCAGCGGAACTGCGCGTAGTTGAGGTCGAGGATGGTCAGCCTGCTCGCACCCAAGCGCGTGCTGTGAAGAGGCGCCGCCCGCGGCAGCGCGGCTGAGAGGTCGGCGACATGCAAACCTGTTCACGGCGGAGGGGCGGGTGAAGCCCTGATCACAGCGGCGTGGAGAAGGCCGAGGAGGAGGCCAGCCTCTGCCGCACGGCGAGAGCGCGGTGGAGGTAGCGCACCGAGTTGACCACCTACGTCGTGAGTACACCAGCCTCAGGGCGGGAGATATGGGAGATATGGGGAGATATGGGCAGCCTACGTCGTGTGAGTACACCAGCCTCAGGGCGGGAAGACGTATCGTGCAGAGTATTCAGAGCGCCGCGTGAAATCGAGTTAGCTACAAGAATGAGGCTTCCGCTTCTAGGGTTGGACACCTCATCGCCGACCGTCAGCAGCAGCACGCGCCTCTTGTCCGGCAGAGCGCGGAGCACCTCGCCCCCAAAGGCGTCGAAGAGCGGGACGTCAGCGCAATCCGCCACTCGCCCGCCGCCTGTGCACCGCTCGACGCGTCAAAAGGCGCCGTTCACGGCGACTCCGCACCCCGCCACTCGCCCGCCGGCGAATGGGTGGGAGGCGTGCGCGGCGACGAGGAGGAGGGAGAGAGCGGCGGCGGCTGCGGGGCGGCGGGGCGCGAGCCGGGAGGTGAGGGTGGCCACCTGTTCACACCCACCGCTGTGTGAAGAGGCGCTGTTCACAGGGGGCGCGAGCTAGGAGGCGAGAGGGGTCACCCCGAGTCCGAACCAGGCGGCGACCAGCAGGAGAGGCTGCGTCCAGAAGCGGCGCTGGACTTGCAGGTAGAAGGCGGACGAGGCGGGCAGGTTGGCCAGCCTGTTCACGGCCGCACATGTGACGCGTGCGCCGTCGACAGCTCAGGTGTCAGCAGGCTAGTCTGGCGAGCCAGAGGAAGAGGAGCGAGTACAGCGCAAAGGCGGCGCCGACGGCCACCGCGACCGGAGCGCCGCGCGAGTCTTGTAACGAGGCGGCGTTCCCCCCTCCGCCTCCTGCTCCTCCGCCTGCTGCTGCTGCGCCTGCTGTTGCTCCGCCGCCGCCTCCGCCGCCGCCGCCGCCTCCTCCACCGCCTCTTCCGCCTCCTCCTCTCCCTGTTCCAAGCAACCCAAACGAGGAGAAGAGGCCGAGCAGGGCGATCGGAGCCGCATACGGCGGCAGCTCCTCCGAAAGGGACTCCGAGAAGCGTCGGAGGCGGAGGCCAAACTCGGCGTCGGTCGCTGCGGGGGCAGGGTGTGCGTGGTCGGTCGCGGGAGAGCGCAGTGCGATGGTCTGGGGAGGTGGCGCGTCCTGTTGAATGGCAAGTTGACTGCTGTCGCTGTCTGGGGCGCTACTTGCACCAGAAGCTAGTAAGCCTTCAAAGGCGGCTCAGTGAGCGCGACAGCGACCTGCTAGTCAAGTGCCGAGGCCCTCGGCTCCACAGCCGCTTTAGGCACTGGTGGGATGTCGTGTGTGGGTGTTCGCCGCCTCGTACGTGCTCTCTCCTGCGGGCGTGTTTGCGAGCCGAAACGTGCCGTACTCGAGCCGGAGAACGTGGGTGAGGAAGCCGCGAACCTGTCCGCACCCGGAGGTGTGAAGTGGCGCTGCCGCGGCCGGACCTCGGTGGTGTGTGAAGACACTGCGCGGCGCCGTCGATGTCTCGCCCCACGAGCCCCACGCCGCGGACTCGCCGCCGCGCGCCACGAGGTAGAGGTACGGGCTGAGACCGGCCAGGCCAGCCGCGGCGAGCAGGAGGAGCGGCGCCGGGCGGAGCAGCGCAGTGCGGCCGGCAAGCAGCGCCCAGAGCGCAAACGGCGCGCCGAAGAAGACGGCAGTGTGCTGGTTGGAGAGGGCGAGGCCGACGGCGAAGGCGCCGGCGCCGGCGCGGCCGACGGTGCGGCGAGCGTCGAAGCGGAGGAGGGCGAGGAGCATCGCCGCGCAGAGCAGGTTGTTGAGCGCAAACACCTGGTGTGTCGTGATGTCCTGGGTGTGGTTCTGGGTGTATCTCAGTGGATCTCGGGTGATCTCGAATGTTTCCTTGATGTCGTGTCATCTCGGGCGATCTCGCGTGATCTCGTATGACACCTCGCACTGCACAGAATACTCCCACACGAGCGGAGAGAAGGCGAAGGCGCCTCCAGCAGCGACGCCAGCCCACGGCGAGCCGCTCCAAGATCCGACCCCGAGCGAGAGGGTGCCTGCAGCCAGAGCTCCATAGACGGCGGAGGAGAGGTTGACGCGCCATGCGGCGGTGGTGTTGCGCAGTGGAAGCCGAGAGAAGCCATGAGCCATCATCGTCCAAAGAGGGTACCCGGGTGGATGAGCGATGCCGAGCTCGAGCGCGACCTGCAGCAGCTCTCCGGCGTCGCCGCCGGGCGTGCCTGGACAGAGCGTGTGCACGTATGCGGCGAGCGTGACGGCGGAGAGCGCCGTGGAGAGGAGAAGATCAAGGTCCATGGTGTCCGGGTCAGCCCTCGCCTGGTGTGGTGCCGATCGCCTCGGTGGTGCTCGTCCAGCGCGGCGGCGAGGCGCTGGCGGCAGGCAGCAAGCCAACTGGGATGCCACGCCACGGCCCACTGACTGTGCCCCCTGGATTGTAGAGCCGATTTTGGGGATTTCTTTTGCACAGGCTGCCAGAAAACTAGTATTCTTCGAGGGAAAGTAATCCGGGCAAGCCCGCGGCCGCAATGAATTAAAAGGGGAAAGCATACTCTAATGCATATACTGACCCGGCATGCACTGTGCCTGTTGTTTGGACCAGCCGTCGGCGGGCGTGCCGACACAGAGACGAGAAAAAGAATTTGGCCAGCGCTCATAAATAAATAAAACGGACACACCAAACAAGGGGTGGGAGAAGGACAGGGTCCCCACCTGCGCGAGCAGGATCTTGTAAGGACGATCAGGGACACAGGGGAACGGGAGCGGGGAGCGCATCGCGACCACGGAGGGGGGCTGGGCAGGGTTCACCCACACGACAGGGTCCCAGGGATTCCCCTCTCGTATAGGACAAAGTTGCACCCGGCGGCACGGGGGCAGGCGCGGGCCTCCTACTGGTTGCGCTCTCCTAGTTCTCCTGCTACTGACAAAAGGGACAGCGACAGGTTCGCAGCACGGTGGACTCCCTATTCCACTGGCGATCTCTCTCGACTAGCGACCTTCCTCCGGCTTCTCACTGGCAGTCTCTCACCATCACGGGCACACTGACAGAGGCGGACAAGGCTCACGCCGTGGGTGGCAGAGGCGGTGATAGGAGTCTCCCACTCTGTGGGCTTCGCTATAGTGGTGCGGCCTACGCGTGTCCTCGCCCTTGCGGTCTTGAGAGGGAAGGGGAAGGGGCTGTGTGTCTGTGCATGTGTGTGTGTGTGTGCATGTGTGTGTGTGTGTGTGTGTGTGTGTGTGTGTGTGTGTGTGTGTGTGTGTGTGTGTGTGTGTGTGTGTGTGTGCGTGCGTGCGTGCGTGCGTGCGTGCGTGTGTGTGTGTGTGTGTGTGTGTGTGTGTGTGTGTGTGTGTGTGTGTGCAGGCGCTGTGCAAGCCGCCCTGAACGACCACATGGTGAGCGCGCCCGAGCACCGAAGCTCCCCAATTGGCTTCATAAAGTACATACACGCGTCCGTGGCGCTTCATAAAGTACATACATACACATATAAGGTACATACATGTCGAGCGCCACCACCTGTCCGTACACACTGTGTGTATGTAGGCCGTACTTACTCAGTTCCCCTTGTAGTGTGCGTACTTGTTACCATGGTAGTCTCGGAGCAAACGTGGCCCACGGCGTAGAAGCAGCACCCCACCCCGAGACTACCTGACTGCCCCTTGAGACAACATCCGTTCAGGGTGTTGCAAGCTGGTGGCGACCGCGGGCGACCGTTTTCTTTTTCTC